TTCCTGTGTGAGCAATGATGGACGCTTGTGGACCCTTCACAATTTGGCCCTGGAGCAAACAGCCCACCTTCCTCTCAGCTTCCACGGCACCTTTTAGCTTACCAACAGCCTCCCGCAGCTCAGCCACCTGCTGCTGGAGGTCCTGCACTAGGGCACATCGAGCACAGCCCCGTCCATTGCGCACCCTCTCCTGAAGAGACCAGTCAAGGCAGTTTCTACAATCCAAAGTCTGCACCGCAACCTCCCCTCTCATGGGCTCTGTCTGGGTGCCTGCACTCGCCACCTCTGGGGCAGCCACAGCAGCGCTCCCAGAGCGGGCCCTGCTCCTGAGACGAGTGCTCACCATCCTGCTCGCTGCCCTTAGCTTCTCCATGACCCACGGTTAACTGATTATTCCAGCTGGGTACAGGGTGCACCTTGAAAATGCACATTGCACTCAATTTCTCTTTATTTCTTTCAAACAGGGACTTAAGGGCGATAAAGGAGAATCCAGAGATGTAAGTGTGGCGTCACTTCCTCCTTGTTTTGAAATACTCTTCTGTTGGCTGTGTCACATGTCTCTTTTTTCCCCTTTTTCTCTCTCTTTCATTTTGTTTTCTAAAGCAATGTGCGCTTGTGCGGAACATCAAGGACAAATGCCGTGAGTACATCAGTGCTTTGCTAAATCCCTGCCTCTACCCTCACGTGCCCGTCACGTTACACAGATGGCACTGACCAAACTCCTTCCTTTACTTTTTCACAGCTTGCTGCTATGGTAAGTCACCTTCAGCCCTTTCAACCCCAGTGTGACTGCGTGTCACAGTTGTTGCTCTCTCCATGTATGTGCTATGAATGATTTACCCCTGCTGAGGACATGGTCCTTGCACCCTGACAGCTGTGTGGGGCGCTGTTTGTTCCCAACGCGTGTTTCTGGCAGGTCCCAAGGAGTGCCCTGTCTTCCCAACGGAGCTGGCCTTCGCTATCGACACCTCCTCGGGTGTCGTGAGGGAGGTTTTCAACAGGATGAAGCAAACTGTGCTCAGAGTGGTCAACAACTTAACCATCGCCGAAAGCAACTGTCCTCGGGGTGCCCGGGTGGCTCTGGTCACCTACAACAACGAGGTCACCACGGAGATCCGCTTTGCTGATGCCAGGAAGAAATCAAGCCTCCTCCAGCAGATCCAAAACTTCCAGGCGACCCTGACGACGAAGCCACGCAGCCTGGAGACTGCCATGTCCTTCGTGGCCAGGAATACATTCAAGCGTGCCCGGAGCGGCTTTCTCATGAGGAAGGTGGCTGTCTTCTTCAGCAACGGGGACACAAGAGCCTCCCCGCAGCTCAACGATGCTGTGCTCAAACTCTACGATGCCGGGGTCATGCCAGTGTTCCTAACCAGCAGACAGGACCCGGTTCTCGCCAGAGCTTTGGAGGTTGGGGATCATTCACCCTTTCTTTCATTTTTGGCTTATGAGCTCAGTCTGGTTTGCTGGGGACATTGACAGTGTTTGTGCCTACAGCTGGTGGGTGGCTTCTGTAGCCTTTTCAAGTGCTTTGCTCCGAGAACGTGTTGCTGAACAAACTCACCCAGCACAAGTCCTTCCCTGTGAGGGTGCTGAGGCGCTGGCACAGGGTGCCCAGAGGAGCTGTGGCTGCCCCATCCCTGGCAGTGTTCAAGGCCAGGTTGGACACCGGGGCTTGGAGCAACCTGCTCTAGTGGGAGAGTCCCTATAGGAGAAAGGTCTGACAGAAAGGCAGAGGGTGGGAAGTACATTAGCTTTGCTGTCAGAGGGAGAGAGATTTAAAGCAACAAAGAAAACCCAGGAGAGCATGTTGAGCAGTGGTTCAAGTGCTTGACCCTTTTCTTGGGGTTTTTGTCTCTAAACTAGTCTCACTAACGGGTGTTGGGACATTACAGCCCTCCAAAGGGGATCCACCAAAAGACGCATGCTGAGTAGAGAATCTCCTAGAGTTGTGGATTGCCCTCTCCTGCTCTGAGCTGAAAATAACAGGAGGCATCATTACTAACACCATGTTTTTCTGTTTGCATCAAACCAGATCAACAACACAGCGGTTGGACATGCAATTGTTCTTCCAGCCAGTGGCAGTCAGCTGAATGAAACTATCCAGAGGCTCTTGACTTGTCACATTTGTCTGGGTAAAGCATCCAATTTCTCCTCTAGACAATGCCAGATCCTTCTGGTCACGCAGCAGTCGGTTGTCAGTGGTGCCGAAGGGAAGCCCAATTGGGAGTCAGCTCTTTTGCTGCTGAAGACAAGGCATTCATCTTCTTAGGCTGAGCAGGAAGCATTGGCATAGTGAACGAGGCTTGCTGGGCGTTCTCCTCTTTGTAAAGAGAAGCTCCTTTTTTTGGCTGGTTCCCAGTTTTACATCCCAAATAGCAATAGCTAAATGCTATAAAATATGGCCTTCTGCCATTTATGACAGAGTGCTGCAGGGCTCCCTTTGGAAAAAGGAGCATGTAAAAATAGTAAACTCATACTTAAGTGTGTTTTGGGATGAAATGACTTCGGTATCAAGTAATGGACCAGTGAATATTCACAGCTTGATAGTATTTCATATGACACGAGATTTTTACAATGGTGAGAGGGGGTTATCTTCAGTTCCTCCAGGTTAAACCTACTATATTTCTTCCCTAGATGTGTGTGACCCTGATCCCGTCTGTGGTTTTGGTAGTCAGAGACCTGTATTCAGAGACAGAAGGGCAGCTCCAACAGATGTAGACACTGACATAGCCTTCATCATGGATAGCTCAGAGTCCACCACCCCTCTGCAGTTCAATGAGATGAAGAAGTACATTTCCCACCTCGTAAGTAACCTGGAAATCAGCTCTGAGCCAAAAGTATCCCAGCACCATGCAAGAGTGGCAGTTCTCCAGCAAGCTCCTTATGAGTATGAAACCAACTCAAGCTTCCCACCGGTAAAAACTGAGTTTTCACTAACTGATTATGGGTCCAAAGAGAAGATCATTAATTACCTGCACAACCAAATGGCCCAGCTCCATGGCACCAGGGCTACAGGAAGTGCGATTGAACACACAATGGCTCATGTTTTTGAAAGTGCACCAAACCCTCGGGATATAAAAGTCATAGTTCTGATGATGACCGGAAAAGTGAATAAACAAGAACTTGAGTACCTGCAGAAGGTTGTTACCAGTGCAAAATGCAAAGGGTACTTCTTTGTTGTCTTGGGCATTGGCAGGAAGGTGGATGTCAAGAATATCTATAGCCTAGCTAGTGAACCAAATGATGTGTTCTTCAAATTGGTCGATAAACCAGGGGAGCTTCATGAAGAGCCCTTACTACGCTTTGGGAGACTGCTGCCGTCTTTTATCAGAAGTAAGTATCACATCCTGCAGCCAAAGTGTTATGGAAGGGGCAACATGTGACTTCAGAGGGGTTAATCTGCCAGGTTTGGTCTATCAGCCTGACCTTTGGGCAGTGGATCCCGCTGAAGTCACGTCTCTTTTTATATGCTCTGTACTCTCTGGTCTGTTTGTTGCTGCTCTGCTTAGTTGAGCATATCTGGGTTTTGTTCACTGTCCACTTCCTAGCCCATCCTATGTGATCTGTTGGTCCGCCAGGTAGTGTGTGCAGTTCTGTCTTGTTTGGCTTGGTCACCATGGGCTCACTTCTGGGATGTGACCTAATCCTGCCTGGCTCGCCAGTCACACCGGCAACACGTCCCATAAGGTCTGGTCCTGCTGGGGCTCTTGGTCCTCTGCAGCCTGCCAGCACTCCCCCTGCGCTCCCTGAACACCCAGCAAGTCTTTCTTCCCAGCTGCAGCATAAGTGTCATGTCTAGCAGACATGGGGATGGCTCAGGCTGAGATCCGGAGTTGCTCTGTGCAGAATGAAGGACCAGATGAGCAAGATTCTTTGCTCAGGGTTAAATAATGCTGCTGTGTTTGGGATTGTGCCTTGGAAATTTGCATCTTGGCTTAGCTAGAAACCCTGGGCTGGATCTCCAGCTGCAGCCAACTGCTAGAGATCCTCCATAGACCTGGCCAGTGAAGACAAGAGTTGGGCCTTTATTAAGAAAGCTAGTCTTATCAAAAAAGCCCTGAAAACCAGTCTACTGGGGCAGTAACCCCTTGATTCAGGAATGTCTTGCACTAAATAAGAAGCAAGCATGAGAACATCTTTCCATGGAAATAAACGTTTAGGTTTTCAGTTTGCTTTTTCCATTTACTGCTTACAGGGGTCCTGGAAAATTCTGATGTTAAGTGTGTGGTTGGAAGTGCCTGGTTATAAGCAAGCTGTTCACGTGTGACACACATACACCCGCTGGTATCTTACAGTTAGTCCTGTCATGTTTGTAAATCAGAATAACAGTTCTCCCAGGCCAGGATTCTGCAGTAGCTGCACTAAACATATTCCATAGCTTTGAGCAGAGCAAGCAAGAAGAGTTGTTTTATTTAAAAATCAATGGAGAAATAGATGTAATGTGGTTTGGTAGGTAACCACCATGCTCAACATCAGCGTTTAATGATATCCTCTCTCTGTCTCTAGGTGACTTTGCTTTCTACCTGTCTCCAGAGCTAAGGAAACAGTGCGAGTGGCTCCAGAATGACCAGCAAGCCAAGAGCCAGAGCCTCGGGCACACTGGGCAGAAAGCAGTGTAAGCAGTGGTTTGTCTGCAAGAGAATGAGCTTTGCTAACTCCTGTCTGGGGGAGAAGCCTTCACTTCCCACTCCATCTTTGGACACGAAGAAAAAGCAACTTCAGTGCTAACAATCAGGATTATCAGCATTTTACTAGTTCCTTTAGTGCTGGTTCAAAAGAGCCATAGATATATCTATCACCTTCTAGAGAAAGGTAGACAAGTACACATATCATTTAAAGTTTGGGTAATTTAACCTGTATGTGTGAGGACATGAAGGAGGTATATGCTACTGTCATCATGCAGGTCAGTAATTCCAGAAATTAATGTTATTTTGGGATTTTCCACTCAGTGAGCTATTTCCACAGGCTGGGCTGCCCTGGACTACCTGATACACAGGATCCATCATAGACTAGTTTCTAAACAGAAATGAAAGCTGGTGTCACTGAGATTCATTCATTGCTGGCACAGAGCTGTCCTGGCTTTAGAAGGTCAAGCCCCTGGAAATCAGACATGCTACAGATCTGTCTACTGAATTCACTCTTACATGTGTCGAGTTGATGTATAGGCCAACTTGTGCCCCAAGTGATAGGCACTTTTCATTGCTTGGCTGTGGGCATGTCTAAAGCTGGCAAAGACTATTGACCTTGGGGGTAAGGGGATAGTGGATGTGTTCTTGCTAATGGTTTCCATGTCAAATCCTCTCCAGTTCCAAAATTCTGCTTAAAGAGGGGTTGGAAAAAAGCCACAGCAGCTGTTTGTGCTTTCACAGGTACGTGGCACCCAACGTGACCATGAGCCGGACCCCCAATGCCAGCAGCACCACGGTCAGTGTGAGCATCAAGCCTGTTGCAAGCACCAACACCCGTGCCAGAACCACCACTGCCAGCACCACAGCTCAGAGCAGAGCCGCTGACCACACCACCGCCAGCACCGTGGTCCAGGCGAACGCCACCACCACCGCGGTCCAGGCAAGCACCACCGGCCATGCCAAAGCCACCGGCCGCGCCACTGCCAACTCCACAGGCGCCGTGTCAGGAGGCAGGAGAAGACAAGGTACGTGGAAGGCTGTCCCCACACGCACCGTGCCTCTCGCTGGTCTGCACCACGCTGAGTTGTGGCTTCTTTTGCTCTCTGAGGGCATTTTCCTACGGGAAATGCCACTGAGAGGCCAGATTTCAGGCTTTAGGTGCAAACCGGGAAATCTGCGCTTGTTGGGGGTTAAAGGTTTGTCAACTCGTGCTGAGGATTTTGTGCCAAACCAGGTGGGAGACATCCTGCCTCTGAGCAAAACACAAACAGGACATGTAAATCTGGCAGTGTTCAAGGCCAGGTTGGACAGAGCCTTGAGCAACCCGGTCTTGGGAAGGTGTCACTGCCCGTGGCAGGGTGGGTGGCACCTTTCCAACCCAAACCATTCTGTGAGATACGAGACAATCCATCATCTGCTGCTCAGCTCAGTAGTGCAGCAACAGACACTTCTCTGTCCAGTATATCCTATTTGCTTTCTATATTTTCCTTGTAGCATTACCCCCTTGGCTAAATCTTGCTATTTATGGTGGTTCACACAGTGGCATTGTGTGAATTCTCTGTCAGCTAATACGAATAGTTCAATTAGTTCACCACTGAAACGGTGTGTGGAGACCTATTTGGGAATGCTGAAACTTCTGTGTGTGAGCACAGTTCGTGTAAAGGGGGTTTCCCATGTGTTTTTGCGAGGGGGTGCAGGCAGATCTGCACTGGCTGAATGAGCAGCAAAGAACATGTGCCATAGCATTGGGACACTTCACCAGTCAATGAATGCATGTCCCCATGTAAATAATAAATGCAAAGCAATAAATAAAAGCAGTCGGCTGTTTTGGGTTGGACATGTGAGACAGAGAAGTCAGAACCTGGTCTGCATATGCCACAACTGCCCGTAGACAGATTTATTTGCTGTGGACTGGGAAGGAGATCTCGCAGCACCGAGACCCTTCCTTGAGATCCTTCCTCTTCGAGTCCTTGCTTAATGTTTCTTCTGATCTTGCTTTGCAGCAAAGAGCCACGACATCCAGATCACAGATGTCACTGAGCACAGTGCCAGGCTGCGCTGGGCCAGCCCTGAGCCACACAGTGCCCACACCTTCGAGATCTCCATCACCTCTGCGCATGACCACTCGCTCGTGCAGAGCCAAAACCTGACAGGCACTGAGCATATCATCCACGGGCTCAGGAGTGGGCAGAAATACCTTGTCGTCATTACCGGCTACCAGAAATCCCAACCCAGAGTGACGTACACAGGGACGTTCAGCACGAGTGAGTATCTCTAGAGGAAAACACACAAACATCCGTGTGTTCATCAAATGGGCACGAAAAACGGGGGGCAAACCCTCACCCAAAAGACAAAGAAGAGATTAAATGGAGAGCTTAGTCCTTTGGGGATTCAAGCTCCGTGTGTCCAGATCAGATGTAAACCTCACCAAACACTTTGGCATGGCCAAAAGTTGCTGTGTAAGACACAGCTAAGTTGTTTGGGGGTGGTTTTTTCCCTCTGGCTTGGCACAGAGGTGACTTGGCTTGGTGCTGTGGAGAAGTTTGCACTGGGCCTGCCAGTGCTGGCATCTCAGAGCCAGTTTCAGTGCCCATGAAGAGCCTTGCCATTAGCTTCAGTGGGTTTGGACCAGGTCTGAAGCCTCTTACCTTCAAGAGCAATAAACATGCCCACAAAAATGTTGAGAAAAGACATCAGTGCGTAGAAGTAACATTTTCATGTGCCGAGCTGGAGCTCTTAATGCCCAGGGAAGATGCATTCCCGTAGAGTAAATGTAGAACAAGAACAAAGGGGGTAGGCAGTGGTGACACTCTTTGCCTACCAGCTGTGACCTAGGTGCTGGGTAGGACTGGCCCCTCTGCCCCCCAACCCACACCCCTACTGTCAGCAGAAAAAAGCAAATCCAACCCTTCCTGTGGCTGCAGCCTCCTCCAGCCCCATGGAAAATGAGCCACAGGGTTCCCTGAGCAGGGATACAATAGGCTGCAGTTGTGCAGAACATGATCCATATGAACCATGTTCTTCTTTCCATCGCAAGTGATGATCCTCAACAGTATAGTTCCTAGAGGGATGGGAGGAGTCTGAGGGGCATGTAATGCATGGACAGTCCTTGAGGGCTGCAGGGGAACAAGAGAAGATCCACCATGGACTGTTTGCTCCCCTGGAGGATGCCATTGTTTTCTGCCATCTCTAGGGCCAGAGGAGCAAAGCTAAACTAGCTACAGAGAGGCCATGTCCAACTCCTTAAAAGCCCCTCCACAATCACATGCTGTGGGGTGAGTGGGGGCCATCCAAAGCCCGTGTGAGGCCCTGGGGATGCTTCTTTGCAGTGACCCCCGAGGATGAGCCCCATTGCACAGCAGAGCTGCCAGCTGAGGACACCAAGCCAGCTACCTCTAATACACATCTCTGACCTGTATGTGCTGGGGGGAACAGGTCCAGACCTGACTCCTGCAGCCTTGTGTGTGTCCCCTCTGCTGGAGCTGGGGCCGGTGGGTTTGGTTATGACTGTGCTGAGGGCGCTGCTGCAGACCCCTTTCCCCTTGGCTGACCCATCTGCTTCTTCCCCCCAGAGACCCCAGCGCAGCCCAAGGTGTCCGTGGCCAACATGATGCTCAACACAGAGCCACTCGAAGGGCCTGAGAGTCGTGAGTATGGGCAGTGGTGGGATTGCTGGGCTGGAGGGGCTCTGCCAGGACCCCACTGAGAGCCTAGCCACTTGCACCCATCTTGCCCTTGCCTGCTTCTGAACCCAGAGCCAAGAGATCATGACCTAGATGACACCCTTGGCCATGCAGGTCTGAGCCCTGTATTTGAGTCTCTGCCCCGAGCTGGATCTAGAGCCCCTTGAAGTTGCTGTGAGCTTCATGGAGGACTCAAATTGGGTCCTGTTTCCATCACAGGGATGGGAGATGAGCCAGGGCCCAACCAGTGGCTACTTTCTGGGGGCAAGCTGTGCTCCATGGGCTCCCCAGCATGTGTGGACACAGAATATCACCTGATACTTTCTCCCTCTCTCCCCACTTGGGGTGAAGAATAGGTCTTGACTCACGGGTGTAACACACAGCTCTGAACAAGGGTTTGACCTATAGCCAGGGATCACAGGGGAGCTGGTGTCAAACTTCTGCCAAAATCTGGCTAACTGGTAGGTAACCCCTCTGGTTTCACCAGTCTGCCCGTGCCCTGCTTCTCTGCCACTAGTGGTAAGAGAAATCACCATCTTACTGAGTGGTAAGATAGTGCCCCTATCTAGTAAACTGCTGAATGAGCAAGATGTCAGTTCCCACTGTTAGTTAATCCTGTTAACCTGTGTTAACACCCCCTAATCACTGTACCTGTTAATATGTCATCTCATTGCTTTTATTGACGTTACATTAGCATTACACTCCTTGTACCATAAGTGCCAGACTGCAACCCTCCCCCCAAGGCTCTGGAAGGGCTTTCAGCCTTTGTGAAACAGCACAGCCTTGTTGCAGGCACCAACTATGGATCTGGCATCCAAACTTCATCCCTGAATCATCATTCTTACGTTTTTCTATAAGCATTTTGCTTGCACCATGGCTCATTTTTTTCCTGAGGTGATGTGGGAGCTCAGGGAGATGCTGCTGCTCAATGCATTCACCCAGCAAGAGCTGCAAAGCTGCTGTTTGGGGTATGGCTGCTCCCGCTGAAAGGGGTGAGCGTGGACCTCATGCCTGACTGGTGCTACCACTGGAGCTTGGTGCAGCGGAGGGTTTGAGGGCTTGCGCTCAGCAGGGACCGTCTCATTTCTGCCTTGCTGCATGTCCCATCATCCCCCCTTCCCATGTGTTCCCATTGGTTTGGTCCCTCTCCCTGACACGGATACCCCCTCGGAAGCCTTCACCTGGCTTGTCCCCCCCAGGTGACATCTGTTCCCATGGCTTTATCTAACCCCTTGTGTGCCAGTCCTTTGAGACAAGGTATGGTTAGGGCTGCCTGAAGGAAAATGGTTGCGCTCTGTGCTCAATCTGCGCTTCGATGCAGACCTCTCAATCTCAGTTTCTCCTGTTGACCCACTTGCAGCACAAGTCTCTGCCTGAGGATTTATGGCACACATCAGTCGGGGGGAAACATTCCCAGGGAATGCTACTCCAAAGCTTTTCAACAGGCTAAAGTCATTGAACAGGGCAGGGGTTTGGGCGGGGGGGGGGTTGTTCAGCTGAGTCTTCTCTGTTCCTCTGTGCAGCGGGAGAGACTCATGTGTAAATATTCTGATGGACCTTGGAGGAAGTCCCAAAATCTGCCCTCCTTATATAGGCAAAGCAGCTGCTCGTACGGGTGGCCTATCTCTGCTAATAAAAACTCTGCAATTTGGACCTAAATCATAATTTCTGGGCAGGAAAGGAATTTGTGTTTAAATCCTCATCAAGCCTGAAAGTGTTCCAGGTGCGGCTTTGCCTCGAGAGATAAACTGAACATACTTGAGGATTCAGAGCTACTGCCAAGACAAATAGCTTTGAGAATAAATGGGAGGAGTTGTGCGAGGGTCTCATCCCATGGGCACCAGCAGGGAGTAAGGGGCTCCCACCACCTTGGGCCATGGACGTGGGGCTTGGATGCACAAGGAAGTCAAGAGTGGGGAGACGCAAGCTGGAGGCTGGGGAAGGTTTGCATTCGGCAACAGGAATCACAGGACAAGGAAATGCCACCAGTCCTGTACCAGGCTCTTTTCCTTTCAATCTCTTTGCTTTTTCAGCTTTTAACCCTTCCAGAGTCACTTACCCTTTGCACCTTTTGACATGCAGATTGGCCAGACCCTTGCTTGCTGGACTTTGACATGGGCATGCAGTGCAAGGACTATCAGATTGTGTGGTTCTTTGACTACAAACACAAGATCTGCAGCCAGGGTTGGTATGGTGGCTGTGGTGGTAATGCAAATAGATTTGAGGCCGAAGCTGAGTGCATTAGCAAATGCTTAAAACCATGTAAGTACCACATGGGGGTTAATCCTTTTGTATTTTATTGTATTGTCAAGTAATATTTGGATCGGGGAGGAAACATCTTTAAAATCCAAACCCATGCCCTTTTTCCTCCAGCAGCAGCTGAGAAAACCATGCAGCAGCCACCTCTTGAGAAAAGATTATCATCAGGTAACACCCAAACCCCTCAGTTATCACAAGCCAAAGCAAAGCCATTATTTCACCTTGACCATTTCATAGCATGCACCACTCTTGTCCAATACAAGATCACCAGTAGTATAGACTTGGTTTGCATTTGCTCCTTGACACGACCATGCCCTACCATCTGCTTTGCATGATGCAGTCCCGTTGCATGCGTGTTGTCACACCAGGACTCGCTGGGTTTGCACAACCTGAGTGCAAACTGCAGCAAAACTGGTGGTTCGTGAAAGATTCAGATTTCCTGAGGAGCGGGAGGTGGCTGAGCTGGAGCACGGCTCGGCACCAGAGCAGTTTCTGTCATTGTTGCATGACCACCCAGTGCCACCATCTGCAGCGTGTCTTTGTTGAGAGGTCAAAGAATTGCACATGTTTCACTGCACGTAACCAAAACACTCGATGTAAAATCACTCCCTGGTTCTTGGGTCTCCTGCGGATGTTGTTCTTTGCACCAAAAGATGCAAATCAAAGTCAAGGGAGGAGCCCACAGGGAAATGGCAGTCATCTCCTCAAGGAGGTTCTGGAACAAGGGGCTGTGTTTGCAAACCTCTTCAGGACCTGGTGTGGAAGTAGAGACTTGAAATCACCTGTGTTGGTTCAGCAAGGGGTTGGGATGGGAACTTGACCCTAGCAAAGCCTTGCTGCAAGAGCAGCCTCTCCTCCTGTTGGTTTTTAAGGGTCCTTTGGCAGAGATGGTAGGCAAATGTAGGCGTGAAGCAGGCACTGGTACCTAATGGCAGAGCTTTAATCCTCACAGGGACGTGACAGGGCTTGAAGAGGCAAATGAAGGACCCCTCCCTCTCACTTGATTTTCTCAGGTGTATTTTAGGCTCCCCAGATTAGGCGGGGGAGCTTCTGTCACTGGCAGCAGTGTATCCTGAGTCCAGCTGTGTGCCCCTGCAGAACCATGCAGGCAAACGAGGAGGAGGCCACCACCAGCCATGGAGATAGATGCCTGGGGTGGCAGCTGCTTGCAAAAGGAGACTGTGAGGTGCTTCTGGGATGCAGGCAGACACCATGGACAAAGATCCGTTGGAAGCAGTGTGTGGCTTGTGCAGAAACCCACAGCTTCGGTCTTGAGCTGGGTTTTATCCTCACGGAGCAGGGAAGCCTCCCTGATGTGGTTTTCTCCAGAGGGCACGTGTTTCTGCTAGCCCCATCCCACAGCCCAGCCCTTCCTGATGGTTGTCACATGCCTCCATGATGCTTCCAGCAACTGTTGTTCAGACTTAAGTGAAATTTCATGATCTTGGCACCATTCTGCCCTGGGCGGATAGTCAAGAAAAGCAAGCGAGGGGCCCTGGAGGGATGCTCGTGTCTCTGCTGCCCTGCTCTATTTACCACTTCTTTCTCTTTTTGTTTGCTGCAAAAGCCACCACATCCCATTTGAAGCCTTTTAAATGCTGTGAAAACCTTTCATTATTGAATTTTTATATTTTATATAACAGATGTATCTCTATATATTTTCTTTACCATCACAAAATTAACTGTGGGTGCAACTGAGGAGTCCAGACACTTTTTCTCCATGGGGTGAGTTAAACCCCTGGGTTATAGTGGCTGTCCCCTTGTTTTGAACCCGACAGAGACAGTCACGGTGTAAAAACACATTTTAGCTCCCAAGTTCATTCTCTGCATCCATTCTTTGACATTTTTTTGGATAAGCTTTAATTTCATTCATTGTGCTTTGGGCTTGGTTAGTTTGTTTTTTGGGTGAGATGTTAGTTCAAATGCCACCCAGTGGTTCAGGCACAGGAGTTACCGGATGGTGCTTGCTGGTGCTCTGAAACTGGAGGGTGGCACCAGCCACCTGAGCAGGAAAAACGGAGGTTACAATGCAAATCAGTTTGCAGATTCTGTGATTGCAAGTTCCAAACTTGAAAAGAGAAATATAAAAAAGAAATCCTGCTTCAAAAAGCTGCATTTAGAGCAGGACGATGGGCAGGGTCATCCCTTCAGTCAGTATCCTCTCTCAGAAAAGATGTATTCCCAGCTCCTCCTGTCTAAAGAGCCAAACTCAGAGGACCACACCGTTGTTGTAGCAGCATCTGCTCGGTCACAGCAGGGAAAACAAGGGAAAATACAGTTAAAATGAGTGGGCAGAAAGGGTTTGGATGTCTGGCAGGATCTACCGAGAAGCACACGTGTGGCTGGGGTGCAAGGTCTGTGACACCATCTGGGCATCTCCATGTCCACCCTGGGAGCACCCTGCCCTGCTGCAGTGATCCTGGGCTCTGGGCAGCTTCCATGACCAGCCACAATTCCCTTTAAAGTAAGCCTGCCACCAGCACTTCCTTATTGCCCAGGCCTGTTGCCAGACCTGCTTTATAACTAGGATTTCAGGGATAATCTGCTGTGCCTGTTTCCTATGGAAACTTCAGAAGGGTTTAGCAAGCCTTTGCTTTCATCAGGCCCCAGAGAAAGTTGCTGGCAAACAAACCTTTCCATATATTCACCCTGTATCTGTATATTCTTCCCTATATTCATTTGTGGATATCCTGGGGCTCTGTTTCTGGTAGCACAGAGACCTGGTGAGATCTCTCAGCCCCTTGCAGTTACTGCCTGATTGCTTTTGGTTGTTGCCTGGGGTGGGCAGAATCACAGAAAGGTGAATATAAAGACATTATCTCACAAAATCCTGCCTTCATGTGAGTGGTCCAAGGGTCACAGCTGGTTCAGGCACCTTTGCTGTCACCAAAGAGCTGTTTCTGGGTGCCCTGTGTGATTACAAGGGGGCTCCTCACCACCTTTTCAGACAAGTCCTTTCATTACTTCCATTTCTGGCACCTGGTTTACAAAAGGCATGATCATAAGACAACATGATCAGAAGATAACTTCAAGACTTGGCTTTCCCCTGAGGGCACCGCTGGTGTGCTCTGTATGCAGTGATCTAGAAAAGAAGGTGGTAAAGGAATTCGTTTTCATGAATTAAAAGAGGGGCTCAAGCTGCAAACACCTTCCAGTGAGAGGAACTCCACACTTTGCCCTCAGTTGCTGGGTCTGCTTTACTGAACTGCTGGTTTAACTCGTGACGTGTGATTTTCACTCATGGCTGGGTCTGGACACAGCAGCTTGAAGCAGAAATGAGCATGAGACAAATGTGGGGGATCTGCCTGACTCAGGGCTCTGGTAGCAAAGCTTTAGCAGGACAAACCGTGATGGCTGGTGGGTTCCATGCCATGCTGAGCACAAGTGGGACGAGCTGCTCCTGCCTCCCGGTGTGCAGGGGATGCTGTGTCTGACTCGATGGGAAATTAATGGTTAATATCAGCTTTTTTTTTACTTTATTTTTTAAAATTTATTTGGCAATTTCAGTGTAACACATCCAGGACTTGGTTATTTGTTCCCTGATCACCAGCAAGAGGTGCAGGACACCGGGAGCTGCATGCGGTAGCACAGATTCCTCTTCTCAGAGAAAGCCAGTATTTTTAATGGGAAAATGATGGTGGCAATACTTTTTCCCTTGCAGCCCAGCCAGTCCTTTCTAAGGTCCAGGACCTGCCAACTCATTTCCTGCAAATCCAGGGGATATGCTGCACCCTTCCTTCATTTCAGCATCATTCCACGGATGCATGACAGCAACATGGCTGAGAGCTTGTAGTTCAGGGCTGATGACCTCAAAAGAAAGACCTTCTCTTTCTGCAGATAAAGGGATGGGATTTAGTCACAGGAGATGTGCAGAGTCTGTGCTGTGGTTGCCCTTTCTGAGCTTGCACATCAGCCCTGCTCGTGGGCATTGCGCTGCCATGCGGATACTTGCAGAGAGGCTGTGGTTCACCAGGAGTGTTATTGCTGACTTCTCTTGCTCCTGCTCTTACCCACAGTCATGGACATCTGTCGGCTGCAGAAAGACGAGGGGACCTGCAGGAACTTTGTGCTCAAGTGGTACTATGACCCTGCCACCAAGAGCTGTGCCCGCTTCTGGTACGGCGGCTGCGGCGGCAACGACAACAGGTTCAACACGCAGAAAGAATGTGAAAAGTTCTGTGTCCCTGGTAAGCAGCAAACATGCAGATGGGGAGGGGTCGGCCACGTCCCTGCTCTAGTGGAAGGTGTCCCTGCCCCTGGCAGGGGTTGGAGCTGGAGGAGCTTTAAGGTCCCTTCCAACACAAACCAGTCCGTGATGCTGTGATTTCCAGCCCAGTGCATGGCTGTAGTGAGCTTGCTTGTGCTGATCTGGACTCCACAGCAAGTCCTGGCAATAAACTCCTTTCCCTTCCCTCAATATCCTGCATCTTCTCATGCACGGAATAACCTCATTTATTTTCTCTTTCTCCATCAAACCTTTCCAGGTAACAGCCCCGGTGTGGTGACGACGATAGGAACATAGAGCCAGCGACCTGTCAACACATACCTCTGAGACAGCCAGAAGCATCGGCCGTTCCCACCCTACCCCTCTAGAAGCTAAGGGTATAGACTACCTTGCACTGTGCTATTTCATGCTTTTACTTCCAAGCAAACCTTGAAGAAAGCGTTTTGCTTCATGACCTATCAATATGGTGCTAAACTGTTCGTGGACTGAGTGCTACGTGTGTCCAGGTTATATTGTATAGCTTCAACATTACCAAATATTTACCTAATTGCAGATGGTTCTTGTCTCTCAATGTGTCTCTAAATTCCCCTTTCTCCTCGATCCGGCAGTCGGCCTCTCTCAGGCACCATGAAAATGAGACAAAAAGGAAAAACCCATTATAACAATTTCACTGCCACTGTTACACGCTTGCTTTTACTGTTCTCATAATGGAGCAAAATGCTGCAGGGAAGCCCTCGTGTAAGAGAGAAGCTGATTCTGATAAACAAGTGGTTCCATTTTTCATTCTTCCTTGGGTTTTGGTTTGTTTTTTCTTCTCCTTTTGCTGGATTACATTCCAGGCTGGATCTCCTGTAAGCATTTGTAACAGCCATCTGGCCAACCGAACCAGCAAGGAAAAGGCAGCAAGGTTTCAAATGCAAATGCACTGCTGGGACCAAGGCCTCAGTTAACTTTTCAATTGTGGTGTGGGATGCCCCTGGCACCCTTCTGATGTGTATGTTTTATAAAACACAAAGCAAAGCGATTGGGGAGGGGGGCAGTGGCGGGGGGGGGGTTTATTTTTATTGTGGAATCTGTGTCAGGAGTCTATACAAGAACTTCTGAATAAAGTCTAATGAGGTTTTGAGAAACTCGTGGGTTTGTCTGTGTAAAAGCCTTGGTGGGCACCACTGGAGGCATCTTCCAGGGCCTGGGAAGCATTTTATAGAGGGAAATCCCACTGGCCTTTAAAGGGAGGGTAGATGTAGTATGGATACTCAGGGGGACATGACTGAGGCCTGCTGGTAATCTGGAGTTGTCCAGCTTGGAGGGAGGTGGAAACTGAGATGTCTTGGTTGTGAAATTTCTGTCAGTTTAGAGCCATTAATAGCACCATTTACAAAACAGATTAAACTGTCTGGACACCTCAGATCCTCTTGGGAAGCTACGCTGCTTATTTGGCACCACCTCTGAGCACATCACAAAAAGGCTCCATTAAAAGAGAGGGGAATAAGTAACTTTTATCTGTCTTACTATAATCGGCTCTTGCAATGGCTGCACCCAGCTACGGCATCTCCGGAGGCCACAGCAGCCT